GCTGATTTCCTCCTCCTCCTCCTCCTCCTCCTCCACCTCTTCCTCCGCTACAATCCCACGGTCAGACACAACGAACCATCCCGAGCCGATCGATATTCTTGAATGGCAGATGTAGAACTCTGTAGGTCCTAATATCTTCTTCCAGCCCGCTCGCCCATCCAACTCAAGTTGTCCTGTCGAAAAGTGTTAACCAATTTTGGCTGGCATCCACCGAGTTTTGAGACACGCTGAGGCGATTATGAAGCGAAGCTGTAGTTGCTTATAACAGCAGACACGGAGAGGCGCAGCGATTATGTTAGTACTACAGGGCATTCAGACCTGCGTAGTCCCTCCCAAAGCGTATTGTAAGCGAGATTGGGGGCTCCCTTGCTCAACTCAAGGCGATCGAGAGTGTTTCGATACTTGGCTTGAGATGTTCACAGAAGAATCATGCGGTCTGGTGTTGGTGAGGTGTGGTGTGAAAGGAGACGAGGGAGTGATGTCAGATGCGATTCAGGATCAAAAGTGGACCGTGCTGCCGGGTGTCGATCAATCGAGAAGTTTGAACAGCTGGCCTGACATGTGAGCCACCAACCCAGCAACCACAGGCCACTTTTCCATTCGCAGACACATACGTGACCTCGTCAGAGGCGTCCTCGAAACGACCGAGTGTTTTTCGAACTTGCATTCCCTTCCAATGCCTCAGTAACGACCACGAACCATTAGCGACAACCGTCCGCACACGATCACCCTCGAGTCCCCCACCCTCACCTCACAATGCTACCCATAGGCCGGCGGCGCGCTGGCGCTCTGTCGCCTCTCACAACAATACTCGGCCTTATACTCCTCCTCATAAGCACAGCCAGCGCAGCGGTACTGGGTATAGATTTTGGAACATTGAACATCAAAGCCGCCATCATCAAGCCTGGAATACCCCTGGACATAGTCTTGACCAAGGACTCGAAACGAAAAGAGGTTGCTGCAGTGGCGTTCAAGCCTACCAAGGATGACAAGGGAAATATCGTCGCGAAGTTAGGTCAATTCCCGGAGCGAGCATACGGCAGCGATGCATTGGCATTGCAGGGCAGATTTCCAGGAGAAGTTTTCCCCAACCTGAAACTGCTCTTGGGAATGCAGTTTGGCCCCGAAGCGGACAAGACTTCGAGAATATACAGACAGCGCTACCCCGGCATCCAACTGGAACAGGTCAAAGAGCTGGGCACAACCGTCTTCAAGAGCCAGGCATTCACAGATGACGTCTTGCCATTCAGTGTGGAGGAGCTTATTGCAATGGAGCTGGCAAACATTAGAAAAAACGCTCAGGCAATGGCAGGAAAGGGAAGCTCGGTGGATGATGTAGTCATCACAGTTCCTCCTTTCTATACGGCGGATGAGAAGCAGGCAATTATCAAGGCCGCGACCTTCGCTGGCTTCGATGTCAACGCTTTGATTTCAGATGGTCTGGCTGTTGGATTGGATTACGCCAAGACAAGAACATTCCCTGAAGTCACAAAGGGCGAAAAGCCAGAGTACCACATGGTCTTTGACATGGGCGCTGGTTCAACCTCTGCGACTGTTATGCGGTTCCAGAGCAAGAGCGTCAAGGATGTTGGTCGTTTCAACAAGACCGTTCAGGAAGTTGCCGTGGTAGGCGCTGGATGGGAACGGTTACTTGGCGGAGATACGCTCAACCAGCTCATCGTAGACGACCTCGTGAAGAAGTTGTTGACCAAGCCTGTTTTGAAGAGCCGTGGAACCACTGAGGATGAAATCAAGAAGAACGCTCGCCTCATGGCCCGACTGTTCAAGGAAGCTGAGCGGGCCAGACAGGTTCTGAGTGCCAACACGGAGACCAGCGTCTCGATGGAAGAAATCCTCCCTGATATCGACTTTCGGGCCAAGCTTACTCGTTCGGATTTTGAAAAGCTTGCAACTGGATTCGACGAACGTGTCGAGCGTCCGATCAAGGAAGCGCTGAAGATGGCGAAGCTTGAAATCGAAGATGTCAAATCGATCATTTTGCATGGCGGCGCGATAAGAACACCGTTCGTACAGAGCAAACTCGAGGAGGTCGCCGGTGACGCTTCAAAGCTGCGTAGCAACGTGAACCCTGACGAATCCGCGGTGTTTGGCGCTGCCTTCAAAGCAGCTGCACTTTCGGCAAGCTTCAAGGTCAAGGAGATCCGAGATTCTGACATTGCAGGCTACGCCACCGGCCTCATGTTCATGGACCAGGAGAAGGAGAGGAAGAAGCCACTCTTTGGTCCTAACGCCCCAGTCGGCGCCGGTTCGACCACCAAGCAGGTCAGCTTCAAGGACAAGGAGGACTTTGCATTCGGGTTTGTCCAGAATGTTGGTGGTGTTGACCGCTCTATCGTCCGTGTGCAATCCGAGAACCTCACCTCGTCTGTTGAGGAACTCCAGCGACGGGCTGGTTGCGACAAAGAATCGATCAACACAAAGTTCAACGTCCGCCTGGCTCCACAGCATGGTCTCCCAGACGTCACCGGCGGCAGCGTGAGTTGCGAGGTTGACCCAAGCGCGAAGAGTGGCAGTATCGGCGACTCCGTCAAGGGCTGGCTTGGATTTGGCAAGAACAAGGAACAAGAAGCACTCAGTGAGGAGGACGATGGACCAGTCGAGCAGGTCGATGCAACACCATCAGCAAGCTCGTCAGGAGAGTCTTCGTCTGCCTCCGGGACATCCTCATCCAGTACCAGCATAAAATCGGCTGAGCCAACCAAGTCAGTTGAGGTCATCCCTCTCCGGTGGTCTACTTCCCCTGAAGGTAACCCACAACCAACGGCGGATGCAATCAAGGCGATGATCGATCGTCTGAAGGCGTTCGATGAGTCTGACAAAGGTCGATTCGCCCGTGACGAGGCCCAAAATGCTCTTGAGAGTTACACATACTTCGTCCGCGACTTTCTCGAGAACAAGGACTATGAGGCTGCCAGCACGAAAGAAGAGCGTGAGCTGATTGCCAACAATCTCCAGCTGACGAGAGACTGGATGGAGTCTGGCGAGCATGCCCAAGCATCAAAAGACACACTGAAAGAGAAGCATGAGGCTCTCAAGAAGCTTGTAGAGCCTATTCGGAAACGCAAGACTGAGTCAGAGAAGCGGCCCGAGGTGGTTGATGGCATGAAGAAGACGCTCGATGAGCTGCAAAAGGGTATCTTGAGGATCGAATCGGAATCTGCCAAGGCAGCAGCAAGTCTTGCGAGTGCCGCAACTGCGTCAGAGTCATCGAGCACCAGCGAGGTAACAGAGAGCGCTTCTGCTGATGCAGACGATCTTGAAGAGCCGGAGACCACGACCAAGGCCGCTCCTAAATCCAGCGCAGCCCCAACCAACCCCTACGACAGCATTGACCTTGTCGGAATACAAGAGATCTACACGTCGGTTTCGACTTGGTTCACGGATAAGTTGGCCGAGCAAGACAAGCTCAAGCCATACGAAGATCCTGTCCTGCTCGTCAAGGAGATCGAGAAGAAAGCGACCCAGATCCAGCAGTCATTGCAAGATCTCGTCGACAAGGCTGCGAAGGCCAGCAAGCCCAAGCCGACGAAGAAGCCGAAGACCACCAAATCGAAGACTGCCAAAAAGGAACAGGCCACAGCTGATGACACCGACGAGCCCGTCTCACCTGAGCCAGCACCCGAAAACGACGCAGACGACATCCCCGTAGCGCCAGCAGACTCAGAATCCGAGCAGGTCCCTCTGCAAGACGACGAGGAGAAGCCAGCCAAGGGCCAGAAACAGAAGAAGGGCAAGAAGCCCGTCAAAGGAGGCGAGAGCATAGAGGACATGATGAATTGGATGAAGAAGAACAATCTCAAGGTGGCGGAGCCTGGTGACGAAGATGACGCGCAGCCTGGCGGGAAACGCGATGAGCTGTAGTGGTTTTCTGTAGTTGTATGAATGCGTGATCGGCCGATGGGGCTGCTGCTACCTATAGAGTGCAATGATAAATGAGTTCGATTGAGTCTCTTTGTGTATTGGAGTACTTTTAGTTGGTTGTGCGGTGCGTTGACGTTGACGATGCTTATTCAGTCATATCTACCTTGCCATAGGGTCGTTCTGTCCAGTCTACGAATGGGGTCCTCGTCTTGAGAACGTTTTTCTCTTCTTTCTATCCTTCGTCCAGTGTTCTCTCAGCCCTCGTCAAGTACCGAGAAAGTCGGCATATCTTCGGCTCAAAAAATCAAACTATCATGTACAAAATTGAAGCTTCGCTGCCAACCAATTAGAAGCATTTCACAATGCCAGCATAGTTTAACGGTTAGAACATGGGTCTCATATATACATGATCAAGCCTAGCTTGTGTCAACCCATATGAAGGCCATCCCAAGATCTGAGTTCGATTCTCAGTGCCGGCATCAAGCACTCTCAGAGGGATTACTTTCTTTTTGCAGGATTTCGGGAGATAGGGTAGGATTTTTTGGGAAGACTATGGGTATGAATTTCGGAGTTCAATTATTTTATTTTTTTTGGAGGTTGTTGTGGGGGATTGAAGGGTTGGGAAATGTTTGGTTGGGGCATTGATGCTACGGAGTATCGAGCCGACGTCTTGTTGATCTGTACGTAGACATAGTGGTGGGTAAGAAGCAGTATATCGAGGATGTCTATACAGAGGGTAGTGGTGTGGTAGCTGGGTCAATAACAATTTCTTTGTCAAAGTCGCTATCATCACTCTCGAGCTCAACTCATCGGTAGCCCATTTAAGTAGATTCGCCTTCGAATTGGACGAACGAAGTCCGACCAGAAAACTCTCGTCGTCCACGATTGGAGGAAACGTGAGGTCGATGGAATGAAGCAAGGGGACATTCCACGACGACGGACCAATCCTTATAGATTTGGAATATCGGAATCGTTCACATTTTCGAATCAGCGTCGACATTGACCTTGTTATGTTCGCAGGTGACCAGCACCGCACCGTCCTTCTCCCGTTTCAATTCCCCTTTCACCAGGGCAATCCTCTTTCCTACATGGACAGTCTGTACGCAGAACGTTAGCCAACCCCCTCAACACCCCAAATCAACCCTCAATCCCCAATCCTAGAGAAGTTACCTCACACTCCATCAAACACCACTCCCCGACGCCCACCGGCCTCAAATACACAAACCCAATCGTCCGACAAACCCCCAAACTCGGCCAGAAATCCGGCTGTCTCGCAACCGGCCACAGCGTCCACGTCGTCGCACACTCGAAAAACGCAGACGTCGCTCCGGCGTGCAGTGTGCCCATTGGGTTGAGGAACTCGGGAAGGACGGCGAAGCGGAAGGTGCAGTGGGATTTGGTGGGGGAGAGGCGCGTGGCGGTGGTTATGGTGACGGTGTCGAGGAAAGGGAGCAGGAAGTTGCGGGCGGGGATTTGGTCGTACTAGGGGAGGGAGGGGGGTTTAGTTTGGATTGGTCTTTCTTTCTGTAAAAGGATTTTACTTGTCTTTGAATTTCATGTTGTTGAGGAGGAATGACGGACTTTTGCTCTTGCTGGGCCTTTGAGGAGGGCTTGGGTCATTTCATCTTTGAGCTCGCGGGAGTCTCTTTCCTGTGAGGGTTTGTTTGGGGTGGTCATTTTCCTTGTGGAGGACCAAGGTTGGCCTATGTCGAATGGATCATGAATGATTCTTTTGCCATGATGCAAGTTCTGGACTTCGAAGACGAACGTACATAATAGAAAGCCGAGGTTCGAAGTATAGACACAAGAGCAAGAAGTCCGGGGAGGAGGGGGCGGGGTAGCAGGATCGAAAAGCAGACGAGGAGTTACAGAGGAAAGAGAACGGCTACAAGGAATTCGAAGGTGCGCATCTGTCGACATCTTCCCATCAGAATTCTCCTGCGGCATCGTTGAGCTCGATGCAATCTTCACAGAAAGAATGGTACCCGAAAGGCGTCCAACGGCTGAGAGAGAGCGGCTGAAGTAAAAAATCTCAATACTCATTTCCAAAGAGTCACATCCATCATGTATCTTTTGTGTCATCGTGACTTTCTTCTACGGAGATGGGACAGGGTCGGCCGCGTGCGAACAAATGCGACGGCTGCCGTCGTCGGCATCTGAAGTGTGGTGAGTGCTGTTGTTGTGGAAACTCAAACTCCCGAAGGGAATCATTGCTGATGAGCATAACAGATTTGCTACAGCCTACTTGCAAGCCCTGTCTCAGGCATGGCTTCTCCTGCGAACGTTCCTTGGACTCGATGTTCGTGCCATATTGGCCGAAGAAGAACAACAAGACCTCATCGCAAGATTCAGAATATGCTTGGCCTCGCAAGACCTCCGCACCTCAATCCTCCACGGCACTTGCTCCCGTCACGGGCGAATCACTCTGGTTCGCGCATCTCTACGCCATGGTCTCTTCCGGCACGGAATCAGTGCTTGAGACATGGATCGGATTTCGAGCAACCTCGTACGAGGCAGACAGCCTAGCTAGAGAGTCCTTCGTGGCACTGGCCTGTTCGTTCTTCGGCCGGTCAAAGAACTCGCTCGACCTCTTGCAGTGGGGGAACAGTCAATATCTGCATTGCTTGCGGAAAGTCAATATTCAACTAGACGATCGTGAGACACGCACGAGTCCTCAGGCTCTCTTGACCGTGGCCATCTTGGGCTATTACGAGGTTCGGATATATACTATGCAAATCCGACCGTGTGCTGACCACGATAGGCCCTGCTCCTGACTGCCCCATCTGCGTGGGTGCGACATTATACTGGATTGGCCCAGTTGATGCAGATGGCCGGCCCGGAAGCCTGCAAAGACGGCGTCGTCTTCGACACCTTGCGCCAAAGTCGGTTCATGATGATCCTTGCGGCGATGGCTACTCAGTCCGATACTTTCCTGTCGACACCGGAATGGAAAACGGTGCCCTGGGAGATCCAAAACGCCCCCAAAGGCAGCATGCACGAGATGCTGGACACCGTCGCAGATCTGCCTGGTCTGAAGACGGGTGTACAGTCCGAGAGTGCAGAGAATTCTCGCGCGATCCTCCGCCGCCTTGACGAATGGCGCAGCACCTGGAACGACTCTATGGATTCGGATCTGGGTCTATCAGACTCGTCTGGTCCCGACTATCCCTCTACTCGGCAGGGCCCCATCACCTCCTCGAACCTCCTGACCGCGAATTGTTTCTGCATTTACAACGCCGCCGTGATCATGGCTGCGGGTCATGCTCTGAGGACTTCTCGGGCGAAAGACTTGCAGCCTGGCGATGCAAGCGTTCTATTCCATCAAATGCACGAGGCCGCGGTTGGGATCTGTCGAGCCCTTGACTATCACTTTCAGTCGAGCGCGGGCACCTCTGGAGGGCTTTTCATCCTCTGGCCGTTGCGTATGGCTGCCAAAGTCCTCAGAGGCGGGTCACCGCAGGAGAAGCTGTGGTTAGAAAAGCGGATGGGGACAGTGATGCAGAGTAAGGGGGTGTGGGATATTCGCCGGGAAGTGTTCCATGAATTTCATGGGACGTGATTCTAGTCTTACGCGCAACAAGTTCACACTGGCTTCCACCTCCTGGATAATTCGAGGCCCGGGCGGTCACGTCAAAGGCGCATGCATCTTCAGAACGTTCGTCAGCGTCGAGAACGGACTCTCCGGCTCCATCGTCAAGCACAAATCGCCCGGATTAAACGACCCCCACGCCGTCCAACCCACCCACACATCCCGATGCTCCTCGAAGTATGTCAACATGCTCTCGACAAGCTCCACGCACGCCTTGACAGGCGCCCCGCCAAACTCCGTCATGATAGCCTTCCTCCAGGAGCCGCGCACAAAGTTGGTAATTTCTTCGTACCGGGGCAGGAACGTTGACCACGGCTCGCAGACGCCGTATGCGCCGCCGTCGTCGTCGAAGTACTGGTGGAAGTCGTAGAGGGTGTTGTCGAGCGGGTCGGTGATGGTGGAGAGCGCGGCCTGCGAGTAGTCTTGCCAGTTGGTTAGGCGGGCGAATTGCGTGCCTGAAATGAGGATGGGCTGCGTGGCGTTGAGGTGACGGATGGCGTTGATGACATTCTGGTTTGTGTGGGCCCATTTGGTGATGTTCAGATCGTGGGCTGGGCAGGAGGGGACGGGTCAGTGATGAGGTGGAAAGAAATCATGGAGGGAATTCAGCTCACGCTCGTTCATGAGCTGGAACATGACGTGAGGATTCTCGTGATAGTGTCTGGCCAACTTGACCCAGAGATCGACAAAGTCGTCGTCGGTGACGGTCTTGTTCGACAGCCACGGCAGGTTGCTCTCTGGTTGTCCGATGACGGAGCAATACCATCTGGCATAGTTGTGCTAAACACAGGCCTCAGTATACGGTACACAACTCTTGCCTTTCGCGCGGGTGGGGAAACCATACAACATCGAGAATCGCCGTACTGCCATCGTTCGTGATGGCATCGATCAAACCATCGAGATGCTGGAGCGTCGTCTGGTTCAACTCGCTCCTCAAATCGTCCTGCAGATGCTGCCAACCGACGGGAACGCGGAAGAGGTTGAAGCCTTGGGCTCGCCACTCGGTATAGTGCTCGGGCGGATCGTAGTAGGGATACACGTCGTACGAAGCGTTGCAGTTGGTGGCTTCGAATTCGCTGAATGCGGAGCCTAGGACGCTCATGTCCCATGCGAGGCCGATGATGTTCACGCTGGGAGATTTGTCAGAGGGAAGGTATGCGTTTTGGAGTGGTCGAATGGCAAAGACTTGCCCTGCTAGGGACACTCGGCTGTCATTGCGACTTGGGTGTGTAAGGTGCGCGGTGGGCGAAGCGGCAGTCAACCCTGCGAAGAGGATTGGAAGCAACGTGCTTGACCGAACCATTGCTGAATGTAGAGGGACGGGGGGAGGTTGTTGGTTGGAAGTATGATCAAGGGAGAGTCTCCTACTTATACGACTGCCCTACGCATCGTCTTTCCGCCTTCAGGCACGACTGCGCTGAACCACGGCTTGACTTTGCAAGATGCTCGTGCAAAGTTATGGCATTGTCATCGCCATAACATGTTGCCTCGACCGATCAAACCACTATGTTCGTCTGAATCATACCATCCAATCACAGCGCGACCTTCGCAAAATCCTCCAGCTCAGGCAAGAGCAAGTGAAACGGTTTTCCAGCGGGCACTGTGGTCCTACACAAAGGTCTGCTCCAGCATGTTCAATGTATCTCAAGACGACGGTCACTCTTTCAACATTTGTCTCATGACAAGAGAGAGCGTCGGATGCAAGAGCGCCTACACAGCAGGTTAGGGATGTAACATTTCGCCTATTGGCGTCTTGGTATGCTGAAAGTTCAAAGCTCGGAGCTTCCCAAAGGCTGGAAAGGGACTGGGTCCAGTGCTCGTTCGCATGTTAGAAGCAACGTGCTCTGAGGAACCGGCAGTTCATTGATAGTCGGTGGGTGCAGGCTTCTCGTCGAAGTCCATGTTCGCCGCTGAGCCTACGGTATAAGTATGCTGTCCGCCTATCCAGGTATTCCGACCCCATCAAGCCTTTCTGATGTTTACTCACCTCACGATGAATCTCCTTGTCACATTCAGCCTGGCCATCGGCCTTGCATGGTCGCTCGCCATTCCAGAGACCTACGTCGATGCTACCAGCAATGCCCTCACGAAGCGTGACGCAGTGACCTACCTCCCAGGTCAATTCACAGTCTACACCAGCCCCAACCCTTTCATCACAGTCAACAACTGCAACTTCGTCTTTGAGCCCAGCGTCTGCCAGATCTACGTCTACTGCGGCGGAGCCTTCAAGCAAGCGATCGGTGGCCAGACGGGCAATTGCAATTCTCCGGATTATGGCATCCTCATATATCAGGAGGGTAAGTCGCCACCATCTCAACATCCAAGGTCAATGCTAATGTCGCTCGTCCAGGTACTGGCAACTTCTACATCGCCCGCGACAATGATCCCAATCAGGTCCTCTGGCAGACGGGAGTGAGCTCGGATTACTTGGAGTCCAACAACTTCGCGCCGTATATCCAGACCAAGTACAATAATGGCGTTGCTGGGTATAGCAGTCCGACGAACCCGCCTAATGCGCCTGGGTGTGGGACGTATGCTGGTGATTGTACGGGACCGGGCTATCCTCCCAAGACTGGGTAGTATTGAGATCCAGGGCTTAGACGATTTCTAAAACGATAGTCGGGACTTCTTTTTCTTCTCGCATTGTTCCATGTAAACCTGATCATTGAGTATATGCAGGTTTGGGGGTATTCGTTGTGATGTTGTGGAAGTGGTTGGGAAGATGGTTGCCAGAGAAGCGCCCCTTCCTCGTGCGCGGTACAGGCATGTGATTGGGCGAGTCAATCGGCAATGAAGAAGTGGGGGCTGGGCTGGGATGCAGCTCGAAGCTTGGGATCCATCCTTTCGCAGCGCAAAAGCTTGTCAACCCATTGCATCGTGACACCCTCGTCCTCTACCACCTGTTGTACATACAATAGAGGCAGCTTGTCACCATGGTCCGCTTCGGTCGTACCCTCGAAGTTGCCAAATACCCGCCGTGGAAAGATCACTACATCGACTACGCCAAGCTCAAGAAGCTCCTCCGCGAAGACGACTCCGCACCCAGTTCACCCACCGTTGAAACCAGCACGCAGCAATGGACCGAAGATGACGAGAGCAAGTTTGTCGACGAATTGGTCAACGTGCAGCTGGAGAACATCTACAAGTTCCATTCAGAAACTCACAAGAAGTTGACTGAGCGAGTTGGGCAATGCGAGGCCAAGTGTGATAGCGTGGCAGTGTCGGAACGTCAAGACAATGGCGAAAGTGGAGATGGACAGGCAAAGACAAACGGCGAGGGTGGCAGCAATGGCAATGGCAAGAAGCCGGTGCCCAGCGAGTCGGACAAGAAGACCATCCTAAGAGAGGTGATGTCCGAACTGGACAAGATCACCAAAGAGATCAACGAGCTCGAGAAGTACAGCCGTATCAACTATACTGGTTTTCTGAAGGCTGCAAAGAAGCACGATCGAAAGCGAGGCCAGTCATATCGCGTGCGTCCGCTCTTGCAGGTCAGACTGGCGGCTCTGCCTTTCAATAGAGAAGATTACGGCCCGCTTCTGTTCAGACTGAGCACCATGTACAACTTCGTCCGACAAAGGCTCGACGATGCAGGCAAGGAGACCAAGACGCTGGAGGACCAGCAGGGCAAGGACGAATATACCAGCCAGAAATTCTGGGTCCACCAAGACAATTTGCTCGAGGTCAAGACCATGATTCTGCGGCACTTGCCGGTACTGGTGTATAACCCACAGACTAGCAAGGTGGCAGAGGGCAACCAACCGGATCCGTCAATCACCAGCATCTACTTCGACAGCCCTGGCTTCGAACTCTATTCGAACAAGGTGGACCACAACGCAGGATCATCGCTTCGTCTCAGATGGTACGGCCAACTTAACAACAGACCGCAGATTTACGTCGAGAAGAAGACGGTGGGAGAGGACAACACCAGCCGGGAAGCTCGATTTGTGACCAAGGACAAGTACATTCGGCGGTTCATCAACGGAGAGTATCAAATGGAGAAGCAGATCCAGAAGCTGGAGAGTCGTGCTGGAGCCGAAAGCGAGGAAGTCAAGAACTTGAAGTCATCCGTTGACGAGATTCAGAAGTTCATCAAGCAATACGACCTGCAGCCTGTGGTACGAGCGAACTACACGCGGACGGCATTCCAAGTGCCTGGCGAAGACCGCGTACGCATTAGTCTCGACACTGATCTAGCCTTCATTCGGGAGGATGCGCTCGATGTCGATCGGCCCTGCAGAGACCCTGAAAACTGGCATCGAACTGACATTGACAACCACGAATTGGAGTACCCATTCTCGTCAATCAGGAAGGGCGAGATCAGCAGATTCCCTTTTGCAGTCCTTGAGATCAAGCTGCGCAACGAGCCAGGCAAGAAACTCCCCGAATGGATCTACGACATTATGAACACGCATCTTGTGAAGGAGGCGCCGAGATTCAGCAAATTCGTCCACGGCGCAGCAGAGCTCTTCGAAGATTATGTCAACACGTTTCCATTCTGGCTGACCGAGATGGAGACTGATATCCGTCGTGACCCGCAGCAAGCGTTTGAGGAAGAGCAGGCTAAGAGACAGAAGGAGAGGGACGACGAGTTTGCCGTTGGATCTCTACTCAAATCTTCGTCCCACATGAGCCCATCGCAACGAAATAGGGGTGCTGGCGTGATCTCACCAGTCGGCTCTCCAGCAGCTAGAGACACACTACAGCGCAGCTCGGCACAAGCGACGATCTCCTCCCCTCAAGGTCCCCAAGGCCAATCCACCACCGCAGAGCCCACCCAAATGAACGACACAGCCGGCGAACCCGATGACGACGACACTGGCACGCACACTCTCCAAGCCAACCGCAGCGCCGGCGGCATCAAGAGCTTCTTCCACAGCACCAGCAAATACGCACAATCCCGCCGCCAAAAGATGAACCTCCCTCCAGGCGTCTCGGAACCGAAATTCTGGATCAAAGACCAAGGCCCCAACAAAGTCGAAGGCAAAGTCTGGCTCGCGAACCAACGCACATTTATCAAATGGCAGCACGTCTCCATCTTGCTGGCTTCCCTCTCCCTCGGCCTGTTCAACGCCGCTGGCCCCACGAATACCGTCGGGAAAGTCCTCGGTGTGGTGTATACGTGCGTCGCGGTCTTTGCTGCTGCGTGGGGCTATGGCATCTACATGTGGCGGTCGCATCTCATCCAGACGAGGAGTGGGAAGGATTTCGATGCGGTGTGGGGACCGGTCGTGGTTTGTGTTGGGTTGATTGTTGCGTTGGCGTTGAATTTTGGGTTCAAGGTGAGTCGAGTATTTGCCCCTGAGCTGTGTTGTCATTATTAGACTAACATGGTGTGCACAGTACCACGCGGTGATGCAAGAACGCAATGACCACGACACGGACTCGATGCTTGTACAGAATACGTACATGAACCATGGCGATTTGTGAACATAGTTTGTACAGAGAACACAGCGCAGAGTCCCTTTTCACGGCAGGCTTAGTTGGACATCGGCCGCCATCTTGTGTCGAAGGTATCTTTTTGCCAATGAGGTAATTTTGAGCGGCATGTGTATGTAACCAAGCAAAAAGGAGTCACGACAGTAAAGGGAAAAATGTAAAGTCACACGCACAGTATACTGTATACATCCCATTGCCACGTAGATCCATCTGTTCCTCTATAATCGACTCTTTAAAGCGACCCTTTCCGCAAGTCCCTCCAACCCATCCCCTCCATCAAAAACATCCCGCTCGACTTTCCTCGCATTCACATGCCTCAACCCCAACTCACTCACCCTCCCCACCCCAAGCAACCTCATTGCCGTCTCCGTCTCCGCCTTCAAAATCTCCAATACTCTCTCCACGCCCTCCCTGCCCCCAGCCCCCAAGCCAAACAACGGCGCCCGTCCCAACCCCACACCTTTCGCTCCCAACGCCAACGCCTTCACGACGTCCGTCCCGCGACGGATCCCGCCGTCCACCCAGACTTCGATCCTGTCCAAGACGGACGGGCAGTACTTCCTGATCTCCAGGAGGGTATGCACGGCAGGCGGAGCCGTATCCGCCGCGCGACCGCCGTGGTTCGAGAGGATTATGCCTTTGACTTGCGGGGCGTGCAGTGAGGCGAGGTAGGCATCCTCGTGCGTTTGTAGGCCTTTGAGGACGATGGGGAGGTTGGTGTGTTTCGCTAGCCAGGGGAGGGTGGTTTTCCAGGTCAAATCTGGCGCGGTGCCCGCGAAGAGCGCTTTGCCTACGCCGCCGCTGCTCTCCGGCTCGGGGGTCGTGGACGCCGCGGAGGGGGAGCCATCGCCCATAACGGCGCTGCGCACGGGGAGGTTCGAAGCGACGTTCTTGGTGCGTTCGTCGTGTTCGCGTTTCCCGGGCACGGGGGCGTCGAGGGTGAGACAGATGAACTTCACCGCGGGGAGTTTCTGGATCCGCGCGAGCATGTCTTCGCTCTTCTTGCGGTCTGTTTGGACGTATAGTTGCCAGCCGAAGACCTGGCCGGGCTGGGCGCCTGCGACGACTTGTTCGGGGGTTTGCGAGGCGTTGTTGGAGATGAGTTGCATGGCGCCGTATTTGGCGCAGGCTTCTGCTATGCCGTGCTCGCCGTCGGGGTGGGCGAGGCGGGCCATGGCGGCTGGGGAGACGAAGAAGGGGACGGAGACTTTGTGGCCGAGGAAGGTGGTTGAGGTGTCGCAGTTGGTGCAGTCGACGAAGATGCGCGGGCGGAGGAGGATGTTTTGGTAGACGGTGTTGTTGAGGGTTTTGGAGATCAGGTCGTCGCCCGCGGAGTAGTAGTATCCCCACGCTTTTCGACTGATCTTCTGGGTTGCGGCTTGTTCGATGTCGTCCAGATTCAGACATTCTGGTATGCTCATGATCTCCTGCTCTTGTCCGTTCTTTGTGTCTTCTGCGGGAGACTTCTCTTCTGCGGGGAGTGTGTTCTCGTCAATTTTGCCCAGCTTCGCGGATTCGGGTAGACTCTCTTCTAGAGTTCCTGGGGGATGTATAGGATCGTACTCTTCAGTTGCGTCTGTGCCGGCGAGTTGGAGGATGATCTTGCTGCCTCCAGGGTGGGAGGGGAGGAAAGACGTGACATCGTAGACATTTCCGTAGAGAATGACCCAACACGATTCAGCCGAGCGATGTTGCTGTACTTCGTCGTAGGTAAAGGTTTTGGCCATGGTGGTAGTCTTGGTAGCTCACGCGAGCAGAGCCTTGTAGATGGTAGGAAGAGAGGATCTTGACTATGAGAAGAAAGATTGAGAAGATGCAAAACGCTTACAATGACCAGACCCAAGAATGACGCTCAAATGCTGGGAGAATGTGACAGAGGAAGAAATCGATCAAGGGTTGTTGAAAGTGATGATGAAGGCGAGAGGCGGCATTGGATGGGGCACCTTCGGCGACTGATAGGCCGAGCGCGATAAATGCCTTATCGGCATTTGAAAGTGGTCAGCATTTTTGTACTCGACCATATCCCATGCACGAGACGATGAGGCAGATCGATGGTCTTGGGTTGCCGACAGATTACTGACTTGCCATGTTGTAAAGTTCTACGAGAAAGACTTGTCCTCCATACGAACAATCCTTTCTATAGCAATAGGACAGGCAACTGTTTCCGCACCTCTCCAAAACAGCAGCCAAGCCCGACACAAACCTCCCTCAACCCAGCATCACCAACACCTCCGCCACAATCTGCACTTTCTTCAACTTGCTTCTCTGCCGCTCACTCAACATCCCCAAGAACGTCTCGAAATCGTATTGCACCTCAAAGTGAAACATATTCTCCTCCCACACCAGATCCCTCGCAACAGCGTAGACTTCCCTGCAGACTCTCAAAAGCGACAGGTCTACCCTATATAGACCGAGTTCCTCGTCAGAAGCCCTTGCATCCGATCCGTCTCGCTGAAGTTCTTGTGCAATCATCATGTTCCTGAGGCAGCGGTGACGGGCTTGCAGTAAGCCATGAATGTCGGGATAGACCGGCCAGTATTGACACGCACACCAACGATGTTCTTTGGCTCGATTGACCGCGCTTGCCGGCAGGCCTTGGGGGCTGCAGTCGACGATGGTCATCTTGCGGTCTTGGTGGTGGCGTAGCAAGACTCGTTTCAACTGATATCCGAAATATCGTGATGTGGTCTGGGTTGCTTTCTGTATCAGATGCGCCGCCATGTTCTTGTCCAATCGTTCGCACACGGCCGTTTCCACCATGCTGCAATGCGTGGAGGTGTTGGGAGTCAAGTTCCATTGGGGAGTGCGACCAGAGCGCTGACGAGTGAAAGCCTGGCATTGGAGGCAGTCGAAGCGGGTGCGGCGGATTGTGATGAAGCCAGGACAGAGGACGTAGCTGTAGATCTCGCGCTGAAGTTCGACCGGTAGCTCGAGGAGAGGCATGTTGATGGCTGAAGGCCCTGTCTCTGCAGGATGCGATATATTAATAGAGTGCCTCAAATGTCGGGCTTTGGCGCTGGCTTGAGGGAGGGAGGATGCGAGATGTCCAGAACTGCGCTCTTTATGTCGTCTCGCTGTCGACTGCCTCGCGCTTCCTCAAAACGACGTATGCTAAGTGAGGAAGTTTCATCCAGATCACCGCTTCCAATATCGTCTGTACAAAATGACAGCAGCAACGACAACCGCACTCACCCTGCCAACCAAGGCAAGCGCCACAGCTCTCCGGACAATATCGTAATATCTGCCCCTGTTAGAGATCTCAGGTAAGCAAAGTCGGACAAGGGGCTGAACCAACCCTTCAAGCATCGTCGCTACCGCCGCCTTGTTGCCATGATTTATGCCAGTCACGCCAGATCCAGTTCCGAGGCCATGCAGTCCGGTCTCGTCTGCTCGCTCGTCGCCGTTCGAGGGGCGCGGCACAATGACAGTCGATTCACCAACGCCGGATTCAGTCACGCCGCCGAAGGAAGGCTTGATATCGCGGAACTCGGCGCCGGATTGTAGTTCTGCTCGCTTGCGGTTCTTGAAGCGGTACGTTGCGAGCCAGATGGTGAAGCGCACGTCTAGAGGAGTGAAGGTTGGATATGTCCATAGCTCGAGGGCATTGTGGGGAGGTAGAAGGTCGAGGAAGTCGGAGACCACACCAAGGGTCAGGCCCCAAAGGAGTAATGGGCCATCTTTGCGAGGAGCTGGGAACTGGTTGAAGATATCAGAGCGCCAGACACGAGATCCAAGATCCTTCAAAGTATCAACTGTTGTAAGTCTGGCGTAGCGATTATCTTGTAACGGTTGTTCGACTGGTGACTCGGCACTGTGCAAAGACTCGGTAGGCTCCAAATTGATAGCCGCAAACATCATCTTGCCCAGGATCATGCTGAGCATCCACTTCTTCACGCCCGTCTCTTGGTTCGCAAGTCTACTGGAAACGTCTTCAAAAGCGATTGTTCGATGTATGGGGCTCGCCAAACTCCTCAATGGCACCCAATGTATCGCAGCGACTTCGCTCGGCTGCAGCTTCAACGGTGGTATCTCGTGCTGCGTCAGCATGAAGACATACGGGCACAAGACCAGCAATGGCTTCTTGCCCCAATGCGTCGTCACGAGCCTTTGCGGCAGATTCCCACACTCCACCGCATACTCATTCAAGTCCACGCCTACTTCTTCCCAAGACTCTCTTATCGCTGCAGCTTTATCATCCGCGTCTGTGGGATCTCGCTTTCCCCCCGGAAGAGCAATGTGTGATGTCCATCGATCTCCTTTTCTTGAAGCACGCTTGATAAAAAGCACTTCTGGCTCGCCGTGTTGTACCCATTCTTGCTCGAAGTAGGAATCGAGGTCTGGAGATTTCTGGGTCGAGGACTCGGGCCAATGCGCGTAGCTAGGCTTGACGCGTAGGATGAAGGCTACGGAGGCGCGTCGTTTCGTTTCTGATGGAGAAGCAAGGTCTGGGTATTGCTCGTTGGTAAGAGCCTTGAGGACATTCTGGAGGTGTAGTATGATGCTGCTGGGCGGCTCCTGTTTCTTCGACTCGGCCATGATAACGAGAGTGAGATTCTGTGGTTCTTGTCGCGGCTGAGACGGCAACGCACTGGAAAGACTGGTCTAGGTGTATGTGTACAGTCTATGAAAACATAGAGGGAAAGAAGAAGTTACAAGTACAGACCTCGAATGTACTGGATGAAATTGGCCGTGAGCAGTTGACCTGTCGTGATGATGCTCCTAATCCAAAGGATCCGAACATTTCACCCCGGTCTCGGCTTGTCGGCCGGTGATCGGCCGAGTCCTCCTAACCTCACCAGAGTATACCCCTCTCTCATTGTCCTCTGTCTTCCAAGACCACATCCTCATTCTCTGCAGCTCATACAGCGTCCGGCTAGCTTTCTGATTTTTGGACCACTTTTCAGCGCAGCAGCCGACTGCAATGGCCATGCCTCCGACATTTTTGTCCTCTCGACAAGTTGTTGCCTTCTTGCAAGTCGTATACCGATGGAGACCCAATCTCAGATCCTCACGCTTTCTCTTGCAATCTCTTAGCGATATGAGCGAGTCCCGTCTTCATGGCGTCGAATGCGTCGAGCCAAAATGGAGGCTCTCCACCCAAATACTCGCTCAGAGCATTCTCCTCGAGCTTCTTCAAGTCTTGCTCGTACTGTTGCAGAGCTTGGCCCACATTGCCATCCACGATAGAGAAGCTCAGACAATGACGATTTGGGAACGCTTTATCATAGTAGAGGAAGTCGTGGCCCGTGAGTGTCAACGTGAGCTGCAGCCTTGGCATGTTGAATTCGTCCCTCAATTTGATGAAGGCTTTTGAGAAGTTTTCATCCTCTTCCTCGACCAGTCCGACGTTCAAAGCGTTTCCGTTCACACCGATCTCTAAGAACCTCAAGCACGAGATTGAGGCGCCAAGACGCATCTTCCAGGCAAGAATCGGGGTCACAGAGCTCTCGGGGGACTCGAGAAGTTGATTCTCCGTTGGTGCGATTTTGAAGTGGTTGCCTTTGTAAAAGATCGGTAGACTCTCTGTCCTGATCTGTTTGCAGGTGCTGCTGAGACCCATCACGTGCTTCTTCTCGGACTCCTTTCGAATGCGGACCTTGTGCTCGCGCTTACTGATGTACAGTACGATTGGACAATTTCGAACCAGAGCGAAGTGGTAGATGAGGTCGCGGAGCTCAGCGGGCAGCTTGTTGAGTGGAGACCGGTCCATGATGAAGGGCTTCGTGAGGTCGCTCAATCAGCGGTGTGGCGTCCTCCGAGCTTGATGTTTACAGCGTTTGAGGTGTTTGGCTTAATGGCTGGAGACGCAAGGCCGAGTTGACAGTGTCGACGACCACCAGTCTGCGAATCGGAACAGCAGACCAGCGAAAGTGCTTGATGAAGCTTGATGGAGTGTGTTGATGAAAAAAGGTGTGTCATTCGAGGAGAGTTGGCTTCCGAAGGTCGGCGAGGCAGCTGCAAAATTAAGGTTTGACGCTAAGCATGTGACAGGATGGTGTGGAATTCGGCTTCACCTGACGTTCAAGCCGAAGCACAAGCGAGTCTTTGATACAATATTCGGGTCAGCGCTCAACAAAGAAGCTGCATATCTGATTGTATTTGGTACTCGATTGAGACGATAATTTTTGTCATTGGCTTCTCTCCGCCGTTGCCTCGAAAATACTGGCTAGGTCAATAGAGTAAGCGAGGAACCTACAAGATCGAAAAAAAACAACCACGGCTTCGCTGACACGGATATACGTCGTGAAGGGTCGTATCATGTCTTTACTATGAACATTTCTACTTCAGGGGCAGATCAGTGCGATGTGCATGGAGCCTACTGAGATTTCGACAAGGCACCCTGTGAGACTACAGTCAGTCGCTGAGCGGCTAGTGAGTTCAGGAACTATTTCGACAATGTTTTCTTTGCAGGGAGCAGCTTCCATCGAACCTTGGAAAATAGCAGGCACGACAGAGCTCAGCCAATAGGAGGTCACAAGCGCTAGTGAATGTTTCAACTCTATCTTGGCCGGATCGCCCCGTTGCCCTTACCCGCCCTCTTCTTCAATGTCTCCTTCTCCTCCACCTTTGCCGCACAACACCCATTGCATCTCTCGCGTGCGACGGGCCATGCAGCATACGGCACAACGCTCGGTGTCTGCAGGATGCTGAATACCCACTGCCGAACCCTCCTCCCGGTGGGCCTAGAAGTCCTGCAGCCATTCGTTATCCGCATCCTGGCGACATCGCGATTGTGCTCGATCTACAACAACGAATAGATAATGCCATATCTCCAGCGAGGCACGTCAAGAGCCAAGGCTAGATCGCGCGGAATGGCCAGCATCCTTACCTCTCCTCAACCCCTCATTCTCTCGAGCGAAACAACCGGCCACACAAGCTGCATAAAATCGTTATCTATTGTCCTCTCAGCGTTACATTCAGACGCGCTGACATGGGGTTCAGCGTCCCGTTGGAAGTGGCGAGCCAAGTGTTTGGTGACGAGGATGGAAGTCGGCCTCTTATAGCGATAGGCCTTGGGCTTGGCTGCTTCGGCATGCTGGTCGCCTATCTTTGGAAAGTCTGGGCATTGATATGGCACAAGAGAGGGTAAGTATGAGTTGATCCCTTCAAATGTGTTTGACTATCTCGCCCATCAAGGTCTAAAGCACGGCCTCTCTACGTTCTGCTTACTGGATAGCATTTGCCTAAGATGGCGTCGACTCCAGAGGTCGTGTTTCCAGTTGAGATCAAGAAGTCGATCGAGGCGCCCCGCGATGAGAAGAAAGGTGCTGTCGCCACTGACCTTGAATTGGTCTTGTCAGAGAAGGAGGGAGACATCAGCGGTACAGCAGAGGGAGACTATACCCCCGAGCAGTACAAGAAAGTGTTGAGAAAGATTGGGATGTCGAGCACAAAACGCTCATGTCCAAGTTACGAATGCTGACAATGACCAGATCGATTCCTCCTTCCCTTGATGTGGTTCTGCTATGGTATTCAACAAACAGACAAGACGTCGTTAGGCATTCAGGCCATCTTTGGCTTGCGAACAGACACCGGACTTGTTGGGCAACAATACTCATGGTTGACGACCATCTTCTACATCACGTACCTCTGTGGAGAATTTCCGTCCAACTTTCTCTTGCAAAGATGGTCGCTGGGGAAGTCCTTGAGCATATATATGTTCTGCTGGGGTAAGCCTTACCAATCGTGATCCAGGGCAGGAATGTTCAAACTTCAATACTAACGTCCATCCCAGGCATTTGTGTTACATGCATCGGCGCAGCTCAGAATTGGTCCCATCTCATGGCTCTCCGTGCCCTCCAGGGTTTCTTCGAATGTACCATCTCCCCGGGTTTCGTGCTCGTCATAGGGTCTTGGTACAGGACAGACGAACATTCATCTCGGGCGCTGTTCTTCCAATCGGCCAACGCAGGGTTCGGTATCATCGGCAATCTCAGCATGTACGGCATCGGCTCTCACGCTGAGAAGTACGGGGGCCTCGCCGCATGGCGATGCATCTCGCTCTTCCTCGGATCTTGCACAATAGTTCTTTCAATCATTTGCTTTGGGTTGCTGGGAAGCCCCAAAGAGGTGAGATGGCTTACGAAGGAGGAGAGGGCTATTGCGTAGGTCTTACTGCTCTGTCAATCGATAGCACCGCTGACTTCATGATACAGACAATCCCGTGTCGTCCAGAACAAGGCTGGCCGTGACGTTACCGGTGTGAAGTGGTCTTGGCCACAGGTGGCTGAGGCGTTCAAGGATCCTCAGTTCTACTTCTGCATGGTCAACGCTTTCCTCTCGTCTGTGCCGAATGGGTATAAATCGAGCTTGCCTGATATACGAGACCAATTCTAACGTCTTCGCAGTGGACTCACCACATTCGGATCGATCATTATGAACAATTTTGGCTTCACCGAACTCCAGGTGCTGCTCGTTGAGATCCCACGTTCTGGTAAGTTGTCCGCCCACTCCGTACTCCACAATCATGGCTAATAATATGACCAGTCATTTCAGTTCTGATCTTCGTCGTCGTCGGCATCTATACGCGCAAAGTGCCCAACCGAAGGATGTGGATCATGGCAGCCGCATGCATCCCGCCCTTCGTCGGTTTACTTACCATGTCCTTCCTCCCCAACACGCCAGAGTACAAGTGGACGAAATGGGGCATGTATCTGATTACTGTTCCATTCGTGCTAGCCCTATTCCTAGCATGGACGCTGAGTAAGTTAACGATTACCCCCTTCAAAAAGACCACCAGAGCTGACTTCATGACCAACAGTCCCCTCCAACGTCGCCGGCCGCACCAAGAAAACCATCATCTCCTCCGGCACCTTCATCGGCTACTGCGTCGGCAACATGTGCGGCTCTCAAATCTTCAAAACCAAAGACTCGCCTCGATATGTCCCTGGAACCGTGGGCTCCTGCGTGGCGTTGGGGATCGAGTTCCTGCTGATCGTCGCGTGGAGGTTCTATTACATGTGGCAGAATCGGGAGAGGGATAAGGCGGCGGCGGCGAGTGGGTTGAGTGCGGAGGAGCAGGAGAGGATTGGACGGGAGATGGGCGAGGCGAATTGTACGGATTTGGAGAATCCGCATTTTAGGTATACGATGTAGGTTGGGAGGAGCTCTGATGATTGAGGGAATGGATATTTGACGACGATATATTCAAGAAAGGCTCCTGGGGGGACCTAAGGACGCACAAAGTAGGAATCACTCGGAGACGAATAAATGGTCCATGGCTCCGTAACACCAGAAGCCTAAAGTCTCGTTCACGAGCAAATGTATGCCTCCACAGATCGAAATCTTCGGAAGCTTGTTCCTATGATTTTGGAAGACGAGCCCTGACTGGAGGCGAAGTTGACCCGAACCGGAGTGGACAGGCTGGTGTTGGCGTCGGATTCCTTCTGTCATAAAATGGTATCGTCATGATCATCATCCACCTGCTGGATCTGCAGCTTGAAAGTCCACTGCCACCCACTCCACCGTCGTGTAACGTTGTGAGTTTAGGACTACTGTAATAGGACGGGCGAAAGAGGATACCACGCACCCGATTGATTCGCTAAGATGTGAGAGCAAGGCACAGTACGTGAATGAAGAAGGAGGGAATACAAGCGGCTCGAAAGCGAGTGTGGATGGTGGTGTGGAAAGCGCAATAGCTACAGGTGCTGTGCCCATGCATATATGGAGAATGACGAGGCTACGTGCGCCGCACAAACGCATAAACGAACTCACTAGGAAACGCAAAACCTCAGCATTTCGGACGTCCCCAGCAAGAGAATCAAAAGGGCCATGGACCACCCAGCAAATGCCACGAGCGTATCAAGGATCAAGATCACAGAGAGCGTAAAGCCAAACATTTTCACGACAGCGGGCAAGCACTATTTCATCAATGGTGTCATGAGGGTAAGCAGCTGCCAACCCCAAAAAGCGAATAGCGACAGCAGAGAACTAATGACATCGCCAAGTGTAACAACTTCCCCCATATCACGCCGATGACGGAAGAACAGACCGAACACTTCTTCGAGGACTATAGAACCATGACCTGGGATGATTTGCACCACAAGTGGCAGCAACACGCCGTCAAATCGAACGAGGAAACCGACAGGCTGATCCACGGGGAAGAGGGGATACGCGCTCGCTAGATGCGAACGATTGAAGGCAACCCGCTCTAGCTCATCAACTGATTAGAGCGACGCTCATTTGAGGACGTCGATTTGGGACAAAAGAGTGATGTCGTATTTATTGAAATGATGCCTAGAACCTGCTTCCTTCTTCTTCTTCTTCTTCTTCTTCTTCTTCTTCTTCTTCTTCTTCTTCTTCTTCTTCTTCTTCTTCTTCTTCTTCTTCTTCTTCTTCTTCTTCT